GTAATGATAATATTCAAATACTACTAAACACCTAAATAGCTTTCTGGCCTTTCAATTTCGAAGCTACCAGTCCTCGCTTAGAGATGGTAGCACAGTTAAGGATAGACTCGGGGTATACGGTTACGGATGTTTATGATTCCTCTCGATATCGATATATCGTCATGAAACCATTGATGCGTAAAGATCGATGTTCTACGTCCGATGTATCGATGTTTTCGATACATGAATGTATCGTCTATCATCGCCATCCCTATATTGTATCCCCACCAGTCACCAGTCAAAAACCTTAACCTCCAATGTTTTATCTATTTATAATTCTTTTTAGCTCTTATTTTTCAGTACTTACTAATAATTTTAGATCTATGTCTACAGTAATTGCATTATGCACCTCGGAGATGTAGGGATTAACATGTTTTACACATATCGGTGTTTTAGGATGGGGACGACATACTGTTTTGATTGCTTTGAAGAAATTCATTAACCCATGAATTTATAACAAACGATTACTATTATGATGTAAAGAGAGATGAGGAATTGTTGGAATACATTTTATATTCTATTTTCTTGCAAATCCGCACAATTCAACAGGTATGTGTAGCTATAATGATCACATATACACACAGTATATTGAACTTAACAAATTTCGAGATTGCCATGAATTAACAAACGACCAAACCTGCTGCCAAATTTAACAGCTAGAAAATCGACCTATTATTTCTCCCATTCCCATTCGCTGAGGGGATAACGGATGGTCAAATGTACACCTATAACATAAATCAAAATACATGAAAGTTGTCCTGTTTTCTCTGTACAAAAGCATCATGTTGGAATCAAAAAGTGGTCGAATTTTGACGATTTTATTCAACATTTTAATAGAAATCACTGATATTCTGAGACCTTTGACAGCTTCCGTCAAATTGCATTTCGATAAGGTATTTTCCTATTGGTCCATAATAATAATGTTGGTGAAATCGGCCCTTAGTATTGTATACTTTATTGGGAAATAGCTCCACATTAACAAATACCTCTTTTGCAAATGAAGAAATGGTAAATCCCAAGACTTGCCTTATTTTCGACGATCCATTAACCAAAACTTCCAATAAAATATTCAAGTTATCAATAACGCTCTGGTTCCGGTTTACTCATTCATCGAAATATAATACAATAACAACAACATTAACCCAGTCCAAGAACATCCCCTTGGCAGGTTTGACGTCAAATTTCAATGCTAGTAATGTTGTTAGTTTTATTGTTGGTCTTTGTGGTCAGCAGCTTCAAAGGCGGTTTATTAGCCAAGTTTTATGGCTATAAACCGAGAAGAGCAACCTTGCGGTGTGAGCGGGCGCTAACACCTCATCGCCTCTGGCCCGACCGAACGCTATTCGTTCGCCCACTCTGCGCGTTCTTTTTCTCTCCTTTACGCGCATTCCTCTCGGACCCTTCTCTGCAACTCCATTGATGGTAATCTATACCGATTTGATTTTTTCCTGGGGCCCCGGCGGCAACTCTTTGTGTCTCGCTGGATGCCCGCGATGGCGCCTCTTCGGATCTTCTTCTTCTTTTCCTTCATCTCCTGCACAGTCGTCGTCTTCTTTTAGTATAGCAGCGCAGAAGACCCGGTTTGATTTTCTTTCAGATCCGAAACACACGTTAATTCCCGAGCAATTCTTGCTTTATTCTGTTGGTATGCACATGCGGATATAACTCACACGATGTACTGTGTGTTCGGCTTCAAGACTCAGTATGCTCCGGAACGCGGTTTATCGGGCCTCAAGGGTAGGGCACCAATTATATTCCCAAAATCATGATGCTCACCCCCCCAACCCCTCCTTGCTCTTCAACTAACACCAGCCGGAACACCGTGGTGATTCGGGCCCCAGATATCCTAGATCCGCCATTGTTGACATGCTATAAGTAGCCCAGAAGAATAAGGAAGAAATACAATATACATGTTAGCGTCTTTGCCTTGACTGTAATCTTCATGTATGCGTGTCCAGAAAGTAGAGAAATGACAAAATGAAAAATGATGTGTAATAAAGCTGTAAGGCTTGAACAAATTTATCTAATGGTGACCTTGAACGTGATCTCAAGCTAATTTGAAGATTAAGGGCCAATTTCACCAACAACAGTCCGTTATTCTCCACCTATAGGGTAACAGTCCGTCAAATACAGCGAATGAGCTTCAAGTTCCAATAAACAAATTTTATCAACCAATAGCTATGAAATGTTAAAAACAAAATATTGTCAAAGTATGAGATGACATCTTGTTATTGAAACATCACCAGCTTATTGAATATTAAGAAATTACATATAATTCAGTCAAAATTTAAACAAATGTTTGATTTTTGAATAAAATTCATGTTTTAATTACCATTGTTGATTTTTTACTCATGATAATATTATTTTCTTCAATTGATATGCGATTTTACTGATTCAAGATCATCTACTGGGTGTTTTTTCCTATAAACCTCTTGCAGATAGCCATTAAGCACCTACTAGATGACTGGCTCTACCAAAAAGTTTATAGATATTGCTCGTTTCCAAACATTCATTCATTTACTTGCCATTCATCAGAACCATTATGGCCCCTTACATTGATATTCCCACAAAACTATTCTGGTTCCATACATCCATAAAGTTGAATATTTTTCGTTGTTCAGGAACTTAACAAACATGCACACTAAATTTACAGCGATCAACAAATACTCATATATATGTGGTAAACCTCCCGGCAAACTTAAAACGTGCAGAAAAACTAGAAAGAAACGACCAGACCTGCTGCCAAATTTAACAGCCAGAAAAATCGACCTATTATTTCTCCCATTCCCATTCGCTGGAGGGGATAACGGATTGTTATATGTAAACCTATAACATATATCAAAATACATGAAAGTTGTCCTGTTCTTTCTGTACAAAAGCATCATGTTGGAATCAAAAAGTGGTCTTGTTTATAATACAGTCGAATTTTTACGGTTTTATTCAACATTTTAATAGAAATCACCGATATTCTGACACCTTTGACAGCTTCCGTCAAATTGCATTTCGATAAGGTATTTTCCTATTGGTCCATAATAATAATGTTGGTGAAATCGGCCCAAGACAGTTTTTTTAAGTGGAAATCTCTATTTTCAATACCCAAAACAAAAAGTGCAGCCGATTTGTCAAAAACTTGAGTAAGATAAATTTCTCTCTTTCCTAAGCAAAAGTTTTCATGAGATCAAAGCAATCCTATAATTAGTCTCCGAGAAATAGGGAGAAGAAGTTTGTCATATTTGTAAACAGGTTGAATGTGCTGTGTGACCAAATACTCATACAGTTATGCTGAAAAAAGTATTTCATTCGAGACCGCATGTCCTTTTTTCAGCTGCCTGTTTGGAGCAGTATTCTAAATACATTTCATCTGATTATTTCATGGTGCGTAGAGATGACCAAAAAAGAATGTTACCATTTTTTTTCTTCAAAAAATGCATTTTTTGTGTAATTCATTGTGTGTGTGTGTGTGTATCTTTTCTTATGTCAGAACTTTTTAACAAGTATTAGTACAGCTCCGAAATTGTATATCAAAATTCCTCTTTCGTGGTAGGGTTGAGCGGGTGATTACTTTTATTCTTAACACTTTTTCTCTTCGAAAAATCCTTGATTTTCTTTAAGCGTCATTTTGCAGCAAATTGAGCTTTTAAGAAAATTAAAGATTGAAGAGTGAAAGTGATAGAAAAAAGGTAATTCTTCCATAAAAGTGGAATATTCACATACAATCGGTACTATTATAAATTTACAACTTACGATTGAAGAAACGTACAAACATGCATTTTTTGACAGAAAAGAAACTGATAACATTGTTTTTCAGTCATCTCTATACAAAATTAGATGAAAATTATTAAGAATTCTCCTCCAGACAGGCATGCGACGTTAAAAGCTTTGTAGGAAAGGCTGTGAGGTGTTATGTTGATCGTGGCCATGACCTTTACAAGTTCAATTTAAAGGGAAATCTTTTTTTTATATATTGACACTGAAATGGATCTGGCACGCGTTGCTCCACAATTTAAAGAACTATCATTCAAGTGAACGGTTCGCTTTACAAGGGCATGGAAAAATTGTGGCTGTTTAGATGTATTTGATTATGGCTTTTACAAGCTCAATTCAAAGTCATGTTGATTTTGAAGGCGAAAGAGAAAGAAAGGACGCACTAGTGTGCGTAGATTTTTTTGTTTTGTTGTTTGTTGATCAAACGATTTGGATCAAATTTTTCGTACTCCAGTCTTCGTGAAGAGTATATAAAAAACACGTGTCTAGGATTGGGGCGCCAGATTTATATCTGCAATACTGCTCATTAATTCTTGCATAATCATCAGCTAAATTCTCGTTATTTTCATAAACTTGTCGATGAGATATCCATAGGCGATACTCTATTTTGTTTCTGAAACGTGATTAAATTCTTTATGCGGATGCTTTCTACTTCTCTTAACGCTAGACTGGAGTTTTGCTCTTGTGCCGTTGCCAACATGCAGCATTAGTACCTCATATACATAAAAATTGTAGGATGGGATCTAATAATAAGAGCACCGGGTATTTTAAAGGTCTACTGGATTCGGTACATGTTGCATTTGAATGGTTTTCTCAAGGAAATGAAAAATCGATTTTGTGTACACATTCGCCATATTTGCAAACCGGCAAACTTCATCCGTCTATTTCTCAGAAACAAGTTATAGGGTTTGGTCCCATGAGAACTCTTGCTCAGGAATGTGAGGAATACAGTATACTGAATTTTTCGCCAAATCCACTGGAACCCATTTTCCATATGTTTTGTGCGAGGCGTTTTCCAAGTAAACGCTACTTGTTGAGGATATGAAAAAGCGAAACATTGAAATTAATTTGATTATTAAAAAATGTTCGTTGCCAAATTTACTATTGCATTACCTTGAATATCGCATTTTTTCTTCGAAACGATGGATGGCCTTTAGGTATCATTGTATTCTTTTTTTTAATGAAACTCTTGTTTGGTTAAACATGTATTTAAAATATGAGATACATTTCGGAATGTAAAATTATCACAGGTGTGTACATCTTACGTTTTCATGTTTAGTTCATACATACCAATATGAAACTATAGTTACTATAAAGTATCAGCACACAAAATGTTTATCATCAGAGCATCTTTTGCTGCCTTGATACTGATTCATAAAATGCTAAAAATATTTTGTAGAATGACTGTTGATTGTATATTTTTTGAATTATTTTCTGAAAAACTACTAACAGCTTCCACGGAATCTCCATCTTTTCATTATCCTGCGTTTAATGATGGACTGTTTCACAATCCCAGATCATATTTGCATCTCTTTTGCATTTTATGAATAACAGCTAAGCTTTATTGTCGCCTCAGAAACGCGACATGTCTATCTCTGTATCTTGATCCTTGCCCTTACTTTTCCCAGAGTCGCTTACTTCTCTGTTCAATTTAGTCGCTTCATTTGCTGAGTCAATATCTGATGTTGACGTGTTGAGATGTCCAAGCTCTTTCATGCTTCTGTGGTAGACTATTCCAGCACCAAACGCGTCACCCATAACATTTATTGCAGTACGGAAGCGGTCTCTAAAAAAATGATATTTAGTAGATTGACCGCGTACTTCCCACGCAATTTTCGACGAATGGGCGTTGAATATGCAGCTTGTGTAATCATACGAGGGGGTATTGATATCTTGTGTGTTCAGTTAAAATGGTAGTGCGTTGAATAATAAAATATCTTCATTTAAAATTTTCAGTGTTTTAGTAGTAGGCTAAGAATATATCAGTATCCCCTCGTAGTGTATAATATCTTCTAACATCTTTCTCTGATACCAACTTTTGATCCTGCCAGAGATTTTTCTATATTTCTATTTTCGTAGTTGATATTTCGATTTATGGGCGCTTCCTGTCTCTATCGCAAACTTTTCGGCTATGTTCGGCAAATGAGCGCAAATTCTCATGTTCTGTGGTTTATTTCGCTATGTTATGGGATATTTTGATGTTTTAAACTAATTTCGCTTTATACCCGAATAACCTAAAGTCTTCCAATGATGTTTGCGCTAAATGTAATTCAAATTCTGGATGTGGGGGGGGGGGGGGGAAAGATAGATTAGAGGCAACCAGAGTAGAAAACCTGGAGAGAACGGTGATGCGAGAAAAGAGTGATCCTTTTTCTATCGAAGATACGCAATTTGTATAGTTGTTTCGTTTAGATAAAGAAATGGTACATTACGTGTTAACTGGTATTCTGTATTATTCAACAATTGAAGAATACCAACAAAGCTATTTTTATAATTAACTTATCAGTAAATATCTTTTGCACCTAACCTTAACTCAGGGAACGCGATAGCTCAAAAGTGTCAGTTATTTCGTTATGAATACGAGTATAATCCGATATGTCTGAGCCGATAGAAATGAAACTTTTCAATTTTGTGGACGTACAGAGTGCCGATTGAATATAATCATGTCGATATGTAGAGTAATGCTAGGTCACGGAGTCCCAGTGCAGGAGCATCTCGAACACCAAAAAACGAAATTTAAGAGATTTTAATCTATTTTTCGTTTTTTGCTCCTAGCACTACCACCACTGGACCCATTTTCAAAAACTCTTCAAACATTTTTCATCCTTGGAATAGCAGTAACCTTATGTGAGAATTCTACTGGTACTTTTCAAGTTACATGATTGGCGAACAGATAGACCGACAGTGGTTTGTCGTGATGTAGAAGTCTCGTTACGTCCAAAAACCATCTTTCTATCCTATCAACCCTCGTATAAGTGTGATCGTATTTGATTTTGCCTAGTTGTGAGAAAACTAAATGATAAACTGTGAACATTTCATGGCCTTGTTGTTTGGGAATTTTATTAATATTTCCATTATAATCTACGGATTAACTTATCATGAATAACATACCGTAAACCGCTTACATGTGTTGATTTTTTTTTTCTATAGGCGACGATACTTTCGATAATTAATTACAAATCGGAATTATAAAATCACATAATCTTCGGAAATCAGAAATGATGAAGTGTTGTAGATTATAATCTTGTTTTACAGTCTTGTTTTTGGTGTTTGGTGCCGCTTGAAGTCTTTGTAGTTGTTGGTGACGAAGGAAGATTCTGAATCATGTCATTGAATCCGATGTTTTCCACAATTGGCGAATAAATCTTTTTTTAAGCATATGTTGAATAGAATAAAACTATCTTCCTGTTGAATCATAAAGCACACCAAATAGGGCTATGTACCAGAAAATAACGGGAATTTTCGTCTTTTGAAAACAATATTTATTTATTCGTGTACAATGATGTTGTCGCCTTCCAACTAGTCTATATTAGATATCATGCACTTGTGCCAACGCTTCTTCCAATCCTCGAAACACTCGATCCTATCACACTTTATTGCATCTTTTTACGCAAAATTTAATACAAAGAAAATGATGAATACAGCTAAAAATTTTGTCACGCTACAGGAGCATGTATACCAACATAATAAAAAAATGGCAATCGGATTCTCCAAACCCGCGACATTTGAAAAATCAGGAAGATTTCCTCATAAAAACTTTGACTGAAGCCACGAAGCTGCCGACCCGCCAGTAAAGTAATAATACTTTTGGTCTGATTTATGAGATATGAAGACGAATATTTCCTCCTAGAGTTCCATCAAATTCTCGTTAGATTTGTGAGATAGTCCACAAAACACAAAGTCGAAATGTAGGTATACTTACAGCAACCAATCGACAGCAAGAATGAGACTGACATCACCAGCTGGTAGGCCGACAGTATCCAAAACCATCACCATGGTTACCAGGCCTGCTTGAGGTATACCAGCTGCACCAATACTGGCTGCCGTGGCAGTTACACTGATCGCTATCAAGTGTCCTATATCTAGAGGTACTCCTCGAACCTACAATTCATTAAAAAAAGTCAAACACCTGTAAGGGTGAGAAGTTTTGATGAAATACATACATAAGATACATTTTCTGAACGAGCAATATGTTTGTAGCTAAATCCTATTCGAATAGTCAAATCATATTAGACAGAAAATCCTCTGGTACGAAATAATTGTGATGTTTGCTTTTATGCAAGTTGCTCAAGGGGGTATTTGAAACATGGAGGCATAAAATGGGTACACCAATTTTTGTGGGAAAGCTTTTTATTCAACAAGAAAGAATGAGAAAATGTGTTCATTGGGATTCACTCAAAATTTTTGGCAGGAACAAAAAAACTCTTCAACTAAGATTTTTAGGTATTTACGAGACTATACATAAAAAGATCTGACTAATAGGAAAAACGTTATGGCCGAAAACCTAGTCAAAGGCGGATCTTGGCAGTTGTTGGATAGTGTCAAGCAGATACTTGAAATTCCTCACATCTCTAGACTTTATACTTCTCAATAACTAGAACAAAATGGGAGCCGATTGGTCAAGTAGTTTTTGAGACTTTCTAGTTGTTTGTCCCAAAACACCTGTTTTCTGGCTTTCACAACTAGTTTATTGAGCAACATACAAGGTTCGTTCAAACGGCATTTTATAGCATATGGATCACAAACCATTTCGAAAGATGAATGCTATTTTTATACAAAAAATAAGGGTTACGTTTGTTATTATAAACAAATTCAAACATTTCGTATTTATGAGTAATTGAACAGATGCGCTACCATATTTGAAAAACATACGTTTTGTTGCGAAGAAAAAAAATGTTTAAACACTTCTTACACTATCTTATATGACCCTTAAAGTTTATAAAAAAGATAATTTCATACTGAAATGTACTGTTCTGCACGCAAACTGAAGACGCAATTATGTTTCAAACTGTCTTAGCCTAGCACTTACTATTCTGAATAAAAAAGAAATAAATAGAAAAAATGGAGCTTTGTGGATTCGAACCTGCACCACGACGACTCTTGCTCTACCGGATCTTTATACCACTATACTTGACACTGACAAATGTCGAGCGAACGTTGACGGCCCATCAAATCTGTTATAAACAATTAGAGTAATCTTGAAAACTATATAAGATACAATGCTGACACTTTAAATAATGTTTTAAAGAGTCTACTGTTTTTTCGCTTTCTTGAGTTCATTTTTCAACACTCAACTCGCAGTCGTTTTAATGATACGAGATTTCGAAAACAATTTATAATATTATAATATATTCAAACTTTTTGAAAAAAGGTTCAAGGAGTTATATTTCTTCAAAAAGAAACTGGATTACGTGACCTACTTATTTAATAAACTCATGCAGTCATCAATAAAGTAGCCTGCAACACATGCTACATACTGACTAGGCCGACAGTTTGAAACATAATTCTTCAGTTTGCGTGCTACTTTTATAAACAGTTCAGTGTATTTCAGTATGAAATTATTTTTTTATATACTTTAAGGCTCATCAGTGATCGTGTAAAAATGTCAGCTCTAAATATATATATATACAAGAGTATGAAGAAATCTTAAAAAATAATTTAACCTCGCAACAAAATATAGACACATAGACGCTTTGTTTTAAAATGTGTATGATAACGTATGCTTTTTGAATATCGTAGCGCATCTTTTCAATTACTCACATATACGAAATGTTGGAATTTGTTTATAGGAAAAAAAACGCAGCCCTATGTAAGGTAAACTCGTGTATTTTGCTATAAAATGCGCATTGAACAAACCTTATATATTGCTCAATAAACTAGTAGTGAAGGCAGGAAAACAGGTGTTTTGGGCTAAACTATTAGAATTTCTCAAAAATTATTTGACCAATCGACTCCAATTTTGTTGTGGTTATCAAGAAGTATAAAGCCTACGGATGTGAGGAATATCAAGTATCTGTTTGACAAAATCTGCATTTTGATTAAGTTCTCGGGTATAACTTTTGTGTTATTAGTAGGATCTTTTTATCACATTGTGTGCTTCTTGTAAATATCTAAAAATATTATTTGAAGAGCTTTTTCGTTTCTGTCAACACTTTTGATTGAATCCCAAAAACCTCGCGTTCTCATTCTATGTTGTTGAATAAAAAGTTTTCGCACAAAAATGTGTGTACCCATTTTATGCATCTATGTTTTAAATATCCCTTTGAACAACTTACCATAAAAAAACCAAATAAAACCAAATTTTATAATCGTTTCGGGGAAATTTGCTAATATGATAAGACTAAAAGGTCGATATATCGGCAAACCGGATTTAGAGTGACTTTAGGATTTGATAGCTTCTGTTTGAATCATCTTTTTTCAACATCGGCAATGTCAAATATAATTTGGAAGATACCTGTGCGATGAAGATAGCTGCGACAGCTTCGTAAAGCGCAGTTCCATCCATGTTAATCGTAGCTCCAATTGGTAGTGCAAATCTTGCAACTCTTCTATCCACTCCAAGATTGTCTTCCAAGCAACGAATCGTTATTGGCAGAGTAGCAGAACTGTAAAATTTCGGTACTCTGAGTCGATTCACTTGAACGTGACATCTTCAAATTCACTTTACTTTAATGATCTCTTATCCCTCCAAGCAATGGTATCTTGGATCTGCTTCGTCTTTATCGGAAGGCTTCAGTAGACAGGCAAAAATGTACGTATTTCGTTGAACGTAATGATATGAGTAGTACGAAGTAATAAGATAAATAGTGCTTCACAGTTGAGTTCCCATTTGGCAGGAATAGGAATCGTTTTAATGATTAAATAAAACAAAATATAAATTGTCAATTTCGGGAGACTTACCTTGATGCGGTTCCAAACGCTGTAGCTATTGCCTGTCCCATATTATGCACGAAAGTGGCGGGATTTTTTCTAGTTAGTGCGAAATACAGAAATGGTAGTACGACGAACCCTTGTACAAATAATCCTAAGCACACAGTTGCAAAATACAACCCTAGGGAGCTCATTACTGATCCCATGTCATCCATCTCTAGAACCTATAGAATTATGTCATCAAACAAGAAGCCTCAAGACCGCCATTTATTCATTTAAAACTGCTTTTTTCGAGATGATAATAAATAAATCTAGTCACTTGCCTTATGGAGAAATGTGCCTAAAATCGGACCCCCATTTTGAAATTGATTTAAAAAATATAAAAAGTAAAGGTTTAAACTTGAAAGGGATTTCAAAATAATTGTGGATAGTAAAAGGATGCCAAATAAAACGTATAGAAGATGGGTCCCAATATATTTGTCTAAAAATTGAGTACTATTGATATATTTCTAGCTTTACTGAACAACAAGTTCTTATAGGAGCAAAGCTATTCTACGATTAGTTTCTGAGATATAGGGGGAGGAAGTTTGCCCGATTTGTAAAAATACCAAATGCTCAGAGAATTGTTATACAGAAGAAAGTATTTTATTTAAAAATCTTTTAGGGAGGGTGTTGGGAGGTGTCATGTTGATCTTGGCCATGATCATTACAAGGTTAAATTATGGGCACGCTTATTTTTATACGTTGACACTGAAATGACATAGCGCGCTTCACAAGGGCATGCAAAATTCGTGGTTGGTTAGCTATCCTTGATTATGATCTTTATAAGGTCATGTTGATTTTGAAGGCGAAAGAGAAAGAAAAAGTAACAATAATGTGAACATAACTTTAAGGGATTATCATTTATTGACTATTCATTTGTTTATTTAGTTTTGGTTTCTGCTTCCTGCATATCGAACTAGCACCAGCCAAGGTCTTCTAAATTCGGTACATGCTGCATTTGAATGTTTTTCTGGACGAATTTAAAAATCTATTTTTATGCGTCCTCTATATACAAAAAGGCTTTCAAATATATATGAATAATAATGAAGATTCAAGCACAGCGCAAACACTTTTTCCACTATCAAAATAAATAATCGTGGACAAAAAAGTAACAAGTGACTCAAGTCACTATTTAAACTTGACAATTTCATAAAATTCACCAACGAGACCAGTGCTCCAGTATAGGGGTGGAGTCCGGCTTGGGGCACTTTCCTCTATTATTTCTAAACATACCTGTGAAGCTACCAAGAATAAAATACCAACTGGTGACAAAAATATGACCCATGTGGTGATTTTCATGCTCACAGCCATAAGCCCATGAAAAAAATTGCCGATAGCTTGAGCTTCTTCACCTACTTGAGCTATAGCTATCCCTACAGCTGCTGCGGCTACTACCAGACCCAGAATATTTGTGTTCTGCACCACTTCAGTACCGATTTTGAATTCGAAAATATCTAAAACAAGTGAACTGTTAAAAAATAAAAAATAAGCCGCGGTGCTGAAATCTTTTTGGGTTTATATACCAATTGATCCGTCAGTTAGGCGTCAGCCATTATGGACGACTCCGCTAACTGCTTCAATACATTTATGTTATTATTTTTGATAGAAGCAACTGAACTCTGCATATTGTTTTGGAGACTGACAGACCGATTGATCGGCATTGACATTCTATAGTGCTGCCACGAGTCCTAGGCGTAACAATCATGAAATTCTCTGACTTTTCTGGGCAACCACATTGATTAAAGAAAATAGTGAACGTCCGAGAGTAGACATTGTGTTCTGTATATGACATTTAATAATTATCAAAAATTTAGGTGATCACATCTGCTAATATAGTTATAGAAATACTAAAAAGCGATAAAGATCTTGAAAATGCCATGAAACTCATAGATTAGCTGCATTTTCAACCAGATGCCTAAAATGTTTCAGAGAAATAGCTTAAGCAATTAAATAAATACTTAAAGGCAGAGGTATGTTATTTGAAAAATCCTTATTTTGCGTAAAGGGGACCTACCTGTTTGATTGTCACTGGCTGGTACCAGTTTCGTTCGATACTGTAAATAAGAAAAATTATTGAAATTCTGTTAAAGGATAGTATCTGACGTATTGTATGTGATGCTAATGTTCTTGGGTTCGTAATAATCAACCAAGAGAGGCTCTGTGCTGAACTAAAAATAAATCCTTTTAAAGATATCCGACCATGCACTGTATTCCGGTATTCAAAAAGGGATTTCTTACATACCGAAGTAGCCGCGAATGCAGACGCCTAAATACCGGGGCATCGCAGCTCCTATATAAGGAGCTTAAAGACACTTTGTTAATACGAGTTTTGAACTGACTAAGGTTAGTTGAACTAGAAAAAGCCTACTCATGTAGATTGCTCCAGAATCTCTCCCTAGGGACAAAGGAGCGGTCGTACCGTCCAGTTTCTGAATGTACGAAATTTAAAAAGTCCATTGACATAGCTAGATCGTTGGTGCGAGAGGGCCCAGAGACTATCCGTTAGAGAAACGTCATCGATCAGTCCGACCGCCCTCTGAACAATATCGAGCATGGATAATATAGTCGGGGTGACTGCACCCCAAATATGTGAACAGTCTTAACTGGGCTTTGTACAGGAGTAAGCAGGTTATGAGCCCTAAACAAATCGCCTAGCTTTTTCCCAGCAGCTGCCACTATTGACGACATGTGTTCGTCATGTCCTCGTTGATCTGGTCTCCGACCAGTATAAATCTCTCCATCACATTACATATAACAGAAAACAGAACAATAGGAATGTAGTTGTAAGGGTCGGTCTTATATCCTTTTTTGGGACGGGCTGGACATAAGCAAATCTCCAGTTTTCTAGGAAAGTACTGGATTCGTAAGATAGCTGGAAGAGACGCGAAAAAACTGGAGCAAGCTCCACTTCACTTATCTTCAGTACAACAGCCGAAATCAAGTATCAGAAGCTTTGTTGATGTTGAGCGACAATAGCAGCCGTCCAACTTTCTGTATGGTGTAAGGAACCCTTTGACTCGACGCCACTTTGGCGTTGGGGAGAGTCCACGGTGGAGTTGACAGAAAAGATCTTGGTAAGCTTTTCCGCCTTAGCCTTTGAACTACTTACAAAATCTCTCACATGGCACGTATGTGGTGGAAGGCTAGTCTTTGAAAAATTTCCTTCAATACGGTTAGCCAACGTTTGGCCTTCCAACCGCCTCGTGCTACTTACTCCACAGTGTGCAGTGAGTGTGCCTTGCCGACGCGCAGTGTTGCACGATTTGCTGAACCAGCCGTTGGACATTTGCTTAGGCACTTTTACGGTATGAGGGATGTATTCCTTCGTATCAATCTAAAAGATACTAGTGTCATCTGTGAGACAGTAGAAGAAAACAAAAATTAATTTAGAAATGTGTATTTGAAGAGTTAGAGTGTTTGGTTCTCCTACTGTCTCAAAGATAGCGCTAAGGACTTCAACTTCTTTTAATTCCTTTTTGGGGCCTATGTAATCCGCATTTTAATAGGATATTTTCAGTTGGAATTCGTTGATCAATGCCTAAAGATACCCAATCGAAGTAGGCGCTACAAAGGCGTCAAAAGGAATTAAAGATCTTAGCGTCATCTATGAGACGGTGGCGGAACCAAATGCTCTTCTTTTTCAAAGTATATTTCAAGATTCATTTTTGTGGTCTGCTAATATCTCATAGTTGGCGCTAGGATCTTTCGAATCCCTTTCTAGACGCTGGAATACAGCATATTCGGGTAATAAAAGATTGAATTCAGCTACTCTCAAATATTTAATTTGCAAAAAATGAAGGACAGTACGTACCTGGAAAATACATGCTTCAATGATATTCGGCGGAAACATATTTCTATAACCAATAAATAACTAAATTAAAATAATTCCCAAGAAAGCCAATATGGTTCGTGTATAATACAAAAATGTACAACCGGGATTCCCTATACAACACACATTTCAAAGAACCTACATATTATTAAAATTCCTTACCAAAAACTCATTAAACATTAATGTACTCCAATGCATACCAAGTGTCTTCGGATAATTTAAATACAAGGTACAATTATTTGAGGATTAGTATTCGAAAAATGCGTTTGGCCTAGATATCTGAAGTGTTGCCTTATGTACACGACAATATGTTAACTGAAGAAACTAACAGTCAATGAGTAGATATGACATTGTAGAGAAAACATCTTGGGGTCCCAAACAGTTCTTTCTCTGCATCGAATTCATCACATTTTTTAATTTCTTCGCCAATAGGCGTGAGTAATCGCGAAAAATTTCTAAAAAGATATTACGTTTTCGGAATTTTCTATAACATGTAATCATGACATATCACTCATTTCCGTCGGTATGTCTGTCTGTCTGTCTGTTGGTTTGTTGGTCTTTCACTCTGTCTGCTAATATCTTTGGCCCATTTATGACTTGGGAAGTACTTATCTGATTTATATGAACATTTTACACAAGGTCACGACTATGCCAAGAAAGAAGCTTTGTAGTTTTTGAAAATCGATCCAGTGGCGACGGGAAAACATTAAAAAAAAAGGAAAAAATTAAAGTTATTCAAATTTCGTTTATTGGCGGTTCAGAGGGTCCTCATCAAAAATAAAAAACTTTTAGGGGTCAAAAATGGGGGGCAGGGGTTGTAGGGGGTAGCCCTCTCGATCTGGATTTATGGCAGCGTTGCTAGATCCGTCGCGAGAATAAGCAGTTGATGCGATATGCAAAATTGCACATACGAGGTGGGCTATATCTATACCGGGTGCTTCATATCATTGAGATCTCGGGAACTGTAAGAGATATCGGATACTTCCAGGCCTATCTAGGAAATTCTGTTTTTTAAATATCTAAGGTTTGGTAATGTCAATGTATAATATAGTATACATTTTTAAAATGAAAACTAACAAAATCTATTCATCTGTGCAAAATAGAATATAGCCTCCATAAGAAAAAAATTGATACTGGAGGACAAGAGACTAAACGTCATATTGAAATTCTGATTATGCTACCTCACAGAGGAGGACGAGTGGCAGTATTAATTTGCATTTTATTTTGAAATCCGACAACAAATGAAGCCAGGAAAAAATTGAAACTATTTTGGATAAATTTAGTTTTTTCTGTCTCTCCACAAAAGTAATTCGTATTTCGAAACTTCCTAAGCTGCATTTTCTTACTTACCCAGATACGGAACATTACCCCTATCTAAGGGACTTCCAGACATCAGAGGTCCAAAGAAATAAGATAACCTTGTACCGACACGCTCATAGCTGCAACCTGAGGATTGTTTTCATGAACAGCGCGAATAATGCACTATTGGTTCTTACAAAATCTACTCTCTTTGATGCCAATGAACTTCATGGAAAATTGTCCTGGAAGTTGTGGGAAGTACAAGTCGTTCTACCTTTTACGGTTATGATTGAGTGCAACGCCCTAAATAATCTGATTGTACCAAGTTGTACCACAGGGGGACTCATAGTGGCGGACCTTAGTCCAGCGAAAGGCGCAATAGGATTATGTTCAAGAACTTATTGTTTCGGGAGAGGGGGCGTGCCGGAAATTGAAAACTAAAGAGCAAGAAGGGCGGTTGTTGAGTGTTTAAGCTGCGCTTCTGATAACGACTGCCATTGTGACTATTGGGTGGTTTGATCGTCTGAGGGGGCGAACGTGGACACGATTTGGGTCTATCAAGGTAATTTTCGGACCACGGTTCATAAATATTGTATCATTTTATTTAAATCGCAAGATTGGGCGGCTAGAGACGAGGCGCTGAATAGCTTTCGATTACAATGTCAATTTAGTACTAGGTAAGACCTAATTTGTAGTAGAAATCACCTCTAACTTACTTAATGAGATCTAATAAAGTATCCACCGTAGTAACATTCCTCGACTCAATTTCAAGCGTTTGGTTCCTCTGCGTGTGTCCTACTCCAGGCTTGATAGCCACCACGAGCACCATGCCTAATACCACTGCAGCAAAGGTGGTGGTTAGATAGTAGGCTATGGCTCTGGCAGCTATCTTGCCTGATAAGGAGAGATCGAGGCTAGCTATGGCTGAGACCAGGGATGCTATGATCAGAGGGATGATCAGGCATTTGAGCATGCGCAGGAATACGTTGCCTACATAACCTGGAAAAGAACAGTAGGTAGAGCCAATTAGGTGTATGATCTTCGTCCGTTATTCCATATAATACTAGGATCCTAATTTTTGTTGGTGAACTCAAGTGTGATGGGTGCCGAGTATATAACTCGATACCATCCGCGTTTGATAGGTTAAGTTTTTGAAAAATGATAACGCATCCGACAAATGTTTTAAGAAAAAGTTTGCCCTGAAATTTCTACCCGATTTTGATGTCTGATCTAGTCACCATGATACAGATCAAGAAATCATGGATTGTTGTCGTTAATAAACATCAAATTGTTTTAACAGTTAAGCTGAACATGTCTCAAAAACTTGATGACCTTTGCACTGGCTTTCTTAAATATATCACTAAGTAAAGTGAAGCTTATCTTGGAGGTACACCTTAGATTTAATTTATATTGCACCGTCGCATCTTGAACACTGCTTTACTAAGCGTACTATTCACTTAGCAACCGTGTATATTTTTTAGGGATTTCTACTTTTGAACTAATGAGCACTGCGCATTAAGTTAACCCCACTTTTGTTCGGTCATATCATCGCCAGAAGTCCTGATATTTGACGGGTGTGAAATATTCATTCTGCAGCAAAAAAGAGCCTCCAATTTTACATCATTATATACGAATATAAACGTAATAGAACACAAAACAACTGATGCCTTTCTAGAGAGAAAAGAACAGTACCTTTATTGGTCCTAATGTTCTGCCATCAAAATTATGAAGATGTCGATTCTTTGATATATTCTTCTCGGAGCTCTACATAATAATGAAGTTAATTTCATCTAATCATTTTAAAAGTTGAATGATACTTCCTCACAAACCACTTCACAACTTTCAGAACTTGACTGAAAATCATAATAAAACTATTACCCTGTCTTTTCAGGCTATGTGCAACTCAAGCTCTCACATTTGAGCTTCACTTAAAGTTGCAAATAATAGTGGTGTAACAGAAATTTATGGGATTAGATTACATTAAGCTTCAGTTAAGCAAGGCGGCGCAAGGTCATGGAATTCGAAAGAATTGTGAACTTGTTCAGAGATCAAAATGTTAACCAGGCGACCAATAATTATAGGGCAACAGGAGACTGTGAATTTGCTGAAAATTCGGAAACCTCATGTTTTATAACAAAACAGGGCCAATAGACTAGTAGAAAGCGCACAAGAAGAAATTGGATTTTCTAGTCAAAAGCTAGGTGGCTGTTTTACGAGTCTCGTACAAAACTGTGCAGAGATTGAAATTAACGAGGAGGTTGACTCTATTTGCACCTACTCAGCCAATAACAACCTAACCGTTATTGCTTCTAAATCTTCTGCTGTGCTGTTTTGTCCAAATCACAGAAGAGCCGAAGTCAAAGCTTCCTTGAGTATATGTTTTAACAATCAAAATCTTCCTTTTTCTGAAAGTGTCAAGTGTCTATGTGTGTTAATTGATGAAAACGTGCGGCTTCGTGAACATTTAAATAACCTCTTACGAAGAAGTTACATCCGTCTGAAAACTCTGTATGCGAACAAAAATTTGCTGAATTTTAAAGTGCGAAAAAAGTTGTGTGAATCTTTTGTGTTATCAATTTTTAATTATAGTAATCTAGTTTATCATCCTTGTTTGGATGTTGCGAGTCGTAACAGAATATCTGTAGTACAAAATAACTGCGTACGATTTATATTTAGTTTAAGAAAATTTGATCATGTTTCGGATCGTTATCCTTTAATAGGTTGGTTAAAGATGACAGATTTAGTTAAACCCAACTATCTAACCTTCATACGTAAGTTAATTGTCTCTGGAACTCCAATTTATTTACGTGAAAACTAATTTTTAGGTATAAATAATGTTCATCAACGACCTATCCGTAACACATTCGCTTTAACAATGCCCCTTCATAGTTCATCTCTTTTTAACAGGTCCTTCTCATATAATGCATGCATGTTGTACAATAGCATTTACAGAACAAAAAGCTTGCCGCTGTATAGTTTTAAAAAACACTTAAAAGCTCTTCTACTCAAAGGTGCTTCTTAAAGGTGTTTTTCACCAGCATTATATTTTTAAGCTAACTTTTGTTTAGGTTGTGATCAGTGACCAAATTTAACGACCTCAGATGCTTATCTGTGAATATTCCTAAACAAGGCTGATTTCAAAAAACCAACCAGTGAGGTGTAACTGTAGATCAACATTCCAGAATCAGGATTGTGCAGCATCTAGAGGTGCGAATTTGGATGATACCATTTTTCAAACATAATTCTTAACTTTCAATAAAAAATGAAGTAATATACAACCCTCTAGTGTAGATCCGTTACTACATGTGCTGGATGCAATCCTAGTATGACAAAGTATAGTGACAAAAGGCCTTTATGGCGTTTGGAAGTCATTCCATCTCATTGAGCCAAAACGAAAAAAAAAATATTCAGTATGACATTTGATGACATATATAGGCTACATCAATATTTCTGGGCGTATTTCACCTATATACATGATTTCCCTTTCTGTCCAACTATCCCTGGTATTCCTCAGGATAATCCCAATGATGGCACCTATCACTACACCAGTGACTGTTGCTAATGTCAACGTATTTGCTTTCAAACAGCCCAAACATTTGTTTCTGGGAGGCTCTTCCGTAGTGTCTTCTGACACCTCAAAGTTGTGGTGGTAAGGCATGGTTGCCTAGGTTTGCACAAATCTGAAACAAAAGTTTTTCATTAAAATTGTTTTTTTAAACATTCTATTCGACTGCTACGTGTTATATTCATTATCATCTCTTTTATGTAGATTTTGAAAAAAGCGAAGACTATAGAATACGAGTACCAGCTATCGAAATATGGCAGCACAAAGTGCCATCTATTACAAACATGCCTATGGGAAATGTACATTAGTTGTCGTCGATTCTGGTGGTATGATAGATACGGTATACTCGCCGTTGAATAAACTATACTAGGTGACATATAAATCCGAACACCCAGTTTAAATGGTTTTATTTTAATAAAAGTTGGTGAATGTATTTATCTTACTGTAAATAACAAGTGAAAAAATTTTCAGCCTTATCAGTTGGACATTCCGGTTTTTATACTGCTTTTTTTTAATTCACTAACGCTCTAAAAATGAATATTTCAGCCGCAGTAAAGAATCAACGTTGGCGGATTTTGGTTCTTGACATCCTTTACGATCGGTTACGATGCCTAGAGTACGGAGACCTGTACGATTTCGTCAACTTAGTGAGTTTGATAGGGGCCATATAGTGGGACTTCGGGACGCTGGACTTTCTTTTCTGGCAATTGCAGTTAGAGTGCAAAGAAGTGTAGACACTGTGGTTAGGTGTTGTCAGGCATGGCTTCGAGAAGGCCATACGCAAAGAGCAAGGGGCACTGGACGCCGCCGTAGAACAACAGACCGTGAAGATCGCCGCCTAAGATTATTGGCCTTAAGGGACCGTTTCTCCATTGCAAATGAATGGTTTGCAGAACACGGAAGACCTATTGGCTTGCGAAGTGTTTACCGATGAATGAGAAGTTTTGGCTTGTTTTCATACCGGCCACACTGGGTCCTGCCTTTAACTCGAGAACACCGACGTAATCGCCTTGAGTGGTGCAGACAACGGTCACTCTGGGATCACGAATGGAATGTCTTTGGTGACGAGTCTCGATTTTGTTTAGGCATGCACGATGGTCGTGCCAGGGTTAGAAGGCGACGTGGTGAAAGGAGGAATCCACAGTTTTTTGTTGAAAGACATGTTCATCACACTGTTGGAGTTATGGTTTGGGGTGCTATAGCTTATGGTTCCAGGTCACCTTTAATCTTCAGCAGATGTAACATGAACGCGCAGCGTTATATCCGCGAAGTTCTAGAACCCCATCTTTTACCCTATCTTGACACCCTGGCAGATCCAACTTTCCAACAAGATAATGCCCGACCACATGTTGCAAGAGTCACAATATACTTCTTTCAACATAATGATGTCACATTGTTACCATGGCCACCAAGATCTCCCGACTTATCCCCAATTGAGCACGTGTGGGATATGATGGGTAGGAGATTGCCCAATTTGCAACGTCCTCCTCAGAATTTAGAAGCACTTCGAGAAGAGTTGGTGGTTGCCTGGAATGAGATACCACAGGAGGACATTGACGACCTGATCAGAAGCATGCCTAGGCGCGTTGGAGAATGCGTAGCACATCAGGGTGCATCCACATTATTAAAGGTCAAAGGGCTTTAAAGCAATGCAATCACTTTGAAATTTTTATCATTTACTTATTATGCTTCATTAAGTACTTATACAAAATTTTATTAAAATAAAACCATTTAAAGTGGGTGTTCGGATTTATATGTCACTTAGTATAGTAATAAATAACCATCGTCCAAAAAGCACGAAACAGCTGTCCATGCATGGCCGTCTATGGTCGGATGGACGAAAGCAGTATTACTAGTACGAGTACCGTGTCTTGTCAATAAATAACATATATGGCTAAATATGGAATTATTTAAACTTTCTTTTCTCGTGCTTCTTCGCATATTAAAAGCGGGCTGATGTTTGCGAGGAAGAAAACGGTTTCGGCAGATGAAGCGGAGTTTTTGCTTCAGAAAATAACTCAAATTTCAGTTTACTGCCATGTATGAAACTCTTGCATTTAAATATTTAAAAATATATGTATTTCAAATTTTCTTCAACATCTATTATTTCTATTTCAGTACTTGACTCGAAAGGTCAAAATCTTCGCAACTTTCATATGTGCGTATGGTCGCACGCATAATAAAACACACTAAGACACGAAAATTATTAAAAAATTGTCCACTCTACACTTCCCAAGCAACGTTGTCATCAGTTCATAAACGATTATCTTCGGTCCGACTGAAGTAGCTACAGATATGTATAACAAAAAAAAATTAAATGGATAGCGAGCCAAACAGGCCCATGCAATTTATCCGTACTCTATTGTCGCCAGCCAATTGAAAACGCTAACGCTAGTTTCTTCCCTGCTTTAAGTATCGACCATCTGGCAACGAGGCGGAACCACACTAGTATAGTAACTAGAGAGAAACGGCGATGCAGTCAGAGTCAATCAGACGCAGACACGCAGACAGTGCTCAGCGTATGACGGTTGCGTTGAGGCTGACCGCGATCGCGACCGCGTGTCGCATCTATAAATATTCTGTTTTAAGGGCAAATGTACGAGGAAATCAATCATGTGTGAAATATATAGCTGCGTACAATTAATGAGGTTCAAAGTGTATAAATATTGCTATCAAAAAATGATATATGTAGCCTCCCCCATCCCCTGCAATCTCCCGACTTTCAACCCCTACAACAATTTTATGAGAATGATCAGGACCCTCTGAAACATCAGAAAATGAAGTTTGAGCGGTTTTTTCGTAATTTCTGCCCCTAGCTGCGTCACCACTGGACCAAATTTTGAGAACTGTAAAGCTTTTGCGACCTTGGTATAGTAGTAACACGGTTTAGAAATGACATCGTAATCAGAGCGGTACTTCTCAAGTTATAGGTTCTTATAAAATTAGCGGACAGACTGACAGACAGACCGACGAAAATAAGTGGCAGTGTTTTTCGTGATGTACATAGAAGAATATACCTCATTTTCGAAAACTTTCTTTTTCGTAATACTTCTCTGCCAGTAATCGTGGCAGTGGCGGCTCGTGCCAATTCAGTGAGGTAGTGCCAGAATGGAAGCCATAATTTTGAATCGATTCAAAATTGTAAAGAATAACTTATAACTTACCCCTGATAGTTAGTGGTCAAAGTTCTTGAGGTTCAATAAATCTATATGTCCAAAAAAAAATCAAAAATAAAACTATTTACACACGCGCACCAAATTATAAAACAAGTGTGGAGAAGTACCTATAACTTCAAAGTTTTCTATACATGAAGTCCATTCTTCTTTCTTTTTTGGTAGCAAAGTTTTCGATTACCTTATTATTAAAATTTTCAATGCCACTAACAAAATGTTTTTCTGCAGACAGCATTCCTAAAGCACTAAGCCTTTCTTCCTTCATTGTGTTTCTGAGGAAAGTTTTAATCCGTTTCAGCATTGAAAAAGAGTGTTCTGCTTCAGATGTTGACATCGGTATAGTGATTAAAATACTTAAGAGCTTAAGAGTTTCTTGAAACGTACAATTTAATCCTTCCTCGTTCAATAAAATGGATAGTGGAACAGCTCCAGAAGTAGTACTCAATTCTTCTCTCTGATATAATACTTGTAACTCAGTTTTAAGCCTGTTTTTGTCTAAAAATGAAAATTGTGTGCATGTGTCATTTAAATGTGCTTCAGGAAACTGATGTTTATAAACAGAAAACTTTTCAGACACAAATAAATTAGAAGCAACTAAATGCCCAGAAAAGTTAAATCTTGTTCTTATTTGCGATAATACTGCATCGCATATTTCTAACGCTTCCCGTTTTTTGCTGCCTTCTTCAACTTGCCTTTTTTTTCTTGCCGGTTCATCAGTTTCTCTCTGCACTCGTTCAATCTCGTCAATAATGCTATCCATTTGTTCTCGTATAGTTTGAATTGCTGCTTCAAAATTCTCTAAATCATTTTTGACCTTAACAGAATCGGTGCATACTTTTTGTAATTGGTTAAAGACAATTTCAACATGTGGCATTATTTTATGGAATATACTTAGCCAAAATACAAAATTTGTATCTTGCAGCTTTAATTTGTACCCACTGGCTTGATTAATCGACGAAGAATCGCGTGAAGTACTTTCTATATTGTCCATAACTTCAATCAGGTCTTTCCTATTTTCATAAACTGTATGAACACCTCGTGACTGAAAATTCCAACGTGTTTGGGAAGATCTTGGCAATCTGCGATTAACTATTTCATCCAAAATTTTTGTTCTTTGAGGAGACGTCGAAAAAAAGAGCACAATCCAGATAAATTATGGAAAAATATTCTAGCCTGCTTATTGACAGAGCATGCGCTTGTCATAATTAGATTTAACTGGTGTGCATAGCAATGAACATAATTTGCAAGTGGATAAGTTTCCTTAATAATCTTTTGAACGCCATTCAATTCACCACTCATAACAGACGCACCATCATAGCTTTGAGCTATTAATTTGTTTGGATTTTGATCTATTAATGGATTTACAACATTTAAAACGCATGCAGCGATTGATTTGGCATCGTGTCCGTCGGGGACGTAAAATCTCCAAAATCTCTCAACTGGTTGTCCTTTACACAAATATCTGAAAATAATAACTAACTGAAATTCACAGGCTACGTCAGTCGTTTCATCGGCAATTACTGCAACAAAAGGAGAATTTGCAATCTCCTTCTTAACTTCTTCATGATAAACATCTAGCATGCACTCAAGAAGCTCGTTTTGAGTTGTTTTTGAGGTACCCTTGAAAAGTTTGGCACTTTGAATATGGACTTTCAATTCGTTGTCTAATTCGGCGCTAAAATTCACCAGCTCCTTAAATATGCCTCTGTTTTCCGAATTTTCCTTTTCATCGTGACCCCTTAAGGCTAACTCAAATGCTCCACAAAACCTTATACAATTAATAATTTTATTCAATACATATCGATTCTTATCCACTTGATTATTATGTTTAATTAGATCATTGCGATAAGCCGAATTGAGTTGAGTCCTTATATTTAATTTACCAAGAATAGAAAAGCTAAAAACATTATTCATATGGACTTTAGATTTTTCGTGGGTCTTC